CTTAATGTTTAACTTGTATTCTTTGTTATTTGACTTGGTGAATGGTAGGCCTTACTTAATACGTATTAGTCCTGTACATGTACTGCCAAGTTAGAATGAATTAACACTATAGATAGCAAATCCTTAATTAGGTCCAATGTGTCATTAAGTAGTAGAGATTTTAATTACACATTTAAATAAGATCTTGTCATTGCTATATAATTGAACTTACCTCTTTTTCTACCTTCTCCCCCATAATCCAGCCATGTTCACAGTTTGTCATTGCTAGGGTATTTTAATTAGGATACTGCAGCTGCTTAATTAGAAATGAGGTTACCTATTAGTCTTAAAATTAATTGGATTCTCTCTTTAGATTTGTCTTATTTCGTGTTCAATTTTTTTTTCTGTAGAAAAATAAGCTGGGGGTGAGTATATGCATATTATATGAAAATACTAATTGCTTCAGTTTCCATAAGCATTTTCCAGGAAAGTTTCAGCCATTACCTTTTCAAATAAGAGGTGGTGATAGTGCTTGATGTGGAAGGTTTCTGCTATTTATGTCTGACTTTATCAAAGGGTGGAAAAGGCATTTTTGTTTGGAATTGTCTAGGTACATGTCCAAATAATGTTAGCCATAGATAGATTTAAGGTAAGTTCACTTGAGAACTCTATGTATCAAGAAAGGAATACTTGGTTGAAGCTCTTCTATTTTTTTAACCTTGTCCCAGTCATTTAAACTCTCAGAGTCCAATTTTCTCATCAATTAAATGAGAGGTGGACAGGAGGTTTTTGGGTCCTAAGATTTGTTATATGTGACATACTGAAGACAAAATATTTTCTACTAGGATAAAAGAAAAAGATAATCCAAGTTTATGGGTATAGAACGCCTTTATAAATCTAGGTAATTTGGATGAGAGGTAATACAAATTGGTTAAGTATCTGAATTTTCAAATACTTTTCAATCTGAATACCTACTGTAACTACTCAAGCTTTAACTTGAATTAGGTTTTTAGTAGTAACTTTTAGAGAGATCTTTGAGAGACTGCTTTGGATAATTCTGACTTAGAATACAAATTATTATTTTGACATTTAGTGCTTTCTAATAAAAAAGAACAGGACTTGCCCAAAGAACATCTGGTTTCCAGTTACTTTCCACCAGATTATTTGAGCTATGTGTCTGTAGTGACACCTAGTGGGTGATGAGGATGTGAGCATCAGTGATTAAACTGGCTGTGTTTGCATAGGGCATCAAGGATTTGCCTTAATGTTCCATTTCTATTACTATTTTCCCTGAGATCTGGTGGTTGTGGGGAAATTAAAAGCATTTACATTTTTGTTGCTACATGGTGAAATGTGAGAATGTTGATCTCACCGTTTAAGTCAGAATTGTTAAGGTTAGAGCAGATCTTCAAAGTACAGTAATCTAAGCCTCCCATGTTTAAGATGAGCAAATCAACTGAAGTGAGGAGAAAGTTACTGATGTGGAGTCATATAAGTGAGTGATACCCTCTTCACCTGATTCCCAAGCTTTCTACTCTACCCTGTACATTTAATTTTGAGTTTTAAATTTGAGATCATGGTTTAGTTGGAGCAGATATTATATGTACCATCAGCAGAACTAGTACTGATACATAAAGGTAGATTTTCTCTCAATAATACAGGGTTGCGCCTCAAAAGAGCTGTTGACAAATGCCATCAAATGATTTATCAGTTAAATGTTGACTTGTTAGGGAACATCCATAACTATGGCATGGGGCAGTCAAGAACCATCAGGAAGCCACAAAAGAGTTGCTTACATTGAGGGAATGGGGTGGGCAAGTTAGACTAAGCCTTTACCCTCCTAAAATGCTGTCACTTCTCAAGCCAGCTAGGAAGCCTCTCTTCATACTACCCTTATTCTCTAGTGTATGGCAGTATCTTTGGGAGGAAAGAAGAATTAATATTAAAAGAAACTATGCATGTAGACATTTTAGGGTTTGTGGCACATAGTTTAATCCAGATTGGATACATCAGGTACAGCAGTGGCACATGACTCAATACTGTAAATGATATACATGTTTTAACATATGCACTACAGTTTCAAAAGACGACAGGAAACTCAGTCTTTTTTTTCCATAGAAAGTTTTCACATGTTTATCTTCCTGCAGTTTTGTACAGTAGATTTCTTCTTTGCCATTGTGATGTTGGTAAGCAAAGCCCATTTATTAAAATACGAAAATAGAAAACAACACACTTGATATTTTTCACGATAACATTAATGGGAGAGTATGACCTCTAAGGAAAACATACTGGAATGTCTGATTATCAAAAATATACCATCCCTCCCACTTCCCAGGTTTGTAAAATAGTCTGTTGGTCCAAGGAGCTCCTCAGGACTTGGTCAGTGCCCTACACTGGCTAAAGTGACATCAGCCGGTGTAGTTAAGTAACCTGCTAAGATAAATGTCACTCCCACAGTTGATGAAAAAAACATAGAACATCCTGGATAGAAAACAAGACTTATAAGGAACCCCTTTAAAGCTGTTTCATTTTCTGATAGCTGCTTTTTCTTAGTTCTAATGATGCTCTTCATGATGCTGTTTAGGCTCCAAGGGTCATAACACCTTTTCCTTCATCTAGTCACTTTAAAGCTTTGCAAATAATGAAAATTCATTATGAAATCAGGGAAAATAAAAGTTCCTCAGGTTCCTGTTATCATAGTTACCATGCCAACTGGTATAGAAAGGGAACTAATATTGCCTTACATTGACAGTGTTGAGATCCTTTTGCCTTATAGTTACCTGGTAATTGATGTGAGGGAGCCTGGATAATGAATTCATTAATAACCTCAAATCTAGTGTTAGTCAATTTTAACCACTACTCCTTCAGAATAAAAAAGACAAAAAACCTAGATATATAATGTTACAATGTATACTTTCCCTACTTGTATTCTAACAAGGTAATTCTGTACTGTGGGAAGAAAACTGATAAAATCCTCAGCATATCCACATGTTGACTTTTTTGTAATTATGGATCTTTAACATCCACTGTTCAAATTCTGTGTGACTGTAGACTAGTGTATTCAACTGTCTGAGAATATTGGTCTTTTGAGAGGGGTTCTGTACATTTAGACCTGAGCTTGACACTAGTTAAGAAAATAGGGATGAGGGAGAAGTAATTCAGTTTGCTTCTGCAAGTCCTGGTTCTCTAGGGTAGTTCTGAAAGGAATGCCTCCTTAATCACCACCTTTGAAATCCAAGTTTTAAAAATATAAGACCCAGAGCAATGGATCATGATATGGAAGAAAAATCCCAGGACAAGATGTTGAAGCCCTGTATTGAACCTGTGACCAACCTGCCACATGAACTTGGTCAAGTCATTCAGCTGCTTTGTGCCCATTTCTTCTCTGAATCAAGGATTTATTACGTGACCTACTACCCTCTCAGACTGTAATCAGGATAAAAAGGAAGCTATGCTTGAAGTGTCACTGTCCTAGCCTTCTCTTCATTGAGAATAGATACATTTGGCTGCAAAAACTTGACTATTCACTTGTTCACCTGTTTCTGATCCAATTGATACTCCATAGCTGATTCTACCCATGAAATGGTGGCTTCCAAAGGACACCATGTATTAGTGCAATCAGGTGATTTCCAAAGGCTGTGTCCAAGTAATAGTGACATTTACATGACTGTCTCTTAAATATAGCATGGAGCCTTTCATGGCTCTTCTCCAAAGCATTTACTCTGAGGGGCAGTGCATGTGGTGGGGAAAACATTAGACAGTAGCCAAAGGACTTGTGTTCTGATCCCAACTTTGTCATTAAATGGCTGCATGACGTTGAGTAAGTCACTGAATTCCTCTGGGCCTCAGCTTTCTATACTGCAGAATGAACGATATATTCTTTACTATCTTCTATACACTGTAGAATGAATTAGACATTCGTTAATGTTTTGTAGGTCTGATATAGTCAATACTGTATTTTTTGAGTTTCCATTCATTTGAAATTTGAATGTAGCTTATTAGTTTTTTTGTCTTTGCTTTTTTCAAACTCCTCCCACTCCACACACACAATGTTGAATGGGATTGAATAGAATGGATAAATGATTCTGGAAACCTGTTTTGTTGAAGCTCAAGCCATTGCATCAGAAAGATGGCCCCCGAAAACTGTTACCTTCTTTCTTCAGTTACTAGCCAATGAGCTGGGTTTATTAAACTGAGTCAGCACACTTTGGAACTAGAAATGCCTTTTAGCAGTGTAGTTAGGCTGAATTCTACTGGGTAGTGAGCCATTTTCCTAGGTTGACATCTTTTAGGTCAGAGGTGAGCTGGGCCCCTTATCCCTGGCCAAGGCTAGAATGAGGGAAGGAGATGAATGGGATAGGCTCTTTTAAGAACGGGCATTGTTGGACATGGTGGCACATATCTGTAATCCCAGCACTCCAGAGGCTCAGTGAAGAGGATCTTGAGTTTGAGGCCAAGCTGGGCCTACATGGTCCTTGTATCAAACCAACAACCAAAAAAACCTGGCATAATGTGGGCTTTGGAAATACAACTGAAGCAACATAGAACAGCTAGTCTATGAGAGTCAATAAGAAACATGGGGAACTGTTTGGGACATGGTTTTTAAAATATATTAATTTGCCACCTGCCTTGCAAGCAGAAGGTCCCGAGTTTGATCCCTGGTACCAAAAAAATATTAAGTTTTGTGAGGACCACTAATATGCTTTGTTGTTGAACTGTCATAGTGACATGTAGATTCTTGGTTGAATCAAATATTATTCTATCCTGGTAAGGATGTGTTCTTAAATGAAGCACAAGTAGTTTGTGTATGCAACCATGTTCCTTTTACCTCTTTTGGTCATGTTATTTAATTCTAATGATGTATGACTTAAGATACTTACACATTGCTAACTTTGTTCCATTCTTCATGCTTTCAAAAGTCAGATCCTTTCATAGTCCTTTGCCTGCCCCTGCCTTTCCTGATGACAAGTGTGAAGTGAATGGATTTAAGTAGTTATTCTCAGATAATGTTTAGGTTGGTTTTGTGTGTGTGTGTGTGTGTGTGTGTGTGTGTGTGTGTGTGTGTGTACATGTCTTCCTCTAGTTGTATGGTAATACTTTTATGCTTTCTTTGACCAATGCTTAGAAGGCAAGAACTGCCCCATTCCTATGTTAAGGGGAAATCTTTAAGGCTAGACCCAGAGAAAGGACTGTCAGTGGTCAATGAGGATTAGCACAGGGAGATGCAGATAAAAAGATGGCTCCCTCTCCTCTGCCCTTCTGCCCACCTTCCTGTAAGGTGCCACTGCAAAACCCTTTGACTTTCTCTGCCTACAGGGTCACTTGAGCTAGGATCATTGGGAAGCCAGATGAGGGTGTTTTTAGGTTCCTGGCTAGTGAAACTCATCTAGATGGCTATGGTAGGCAGAGAAATTCCTCGCCTATAATTTTAACAACTAACCACTAAGCTGTAGAACTGAAAAGGAGCTCTGGGAGCTTGTGTATATCAGAGCCCAGGCTACAGAGATTGCAGTGGGGTAACTGGGGATTGGGGAGGGCAGGAGAGGGCTTGTCCTTAACCTTGAGGCCCACCTTCTCTGCGATAAGCAATGAAAATGGTTATTCCAAAAATCCCATTCCCAGGCCCACTATGGTGTAAGCTACAGAAATAAAAATGCTGTCTATGTTTTGAAGAAATAATCTTCACTCTCTCACTTTACAGAAACGATCAGGTTCTCCCCTATTTCAGCTACCTTCAGAGATCAGGCCTGAAGATACTTCAGAAATCAAGTCATCTTTCAGACCAAGTATGAATCACCTAGAATCTTACTTGCTTTCATGCTTTTAAATATCCTTCACGAAGCACTCAGGTCTAACCTTCTACAACCTCCACATGCGAGTTGCCTCAGGTGGGAGATAAGAGAAATAAGACTCTTAGTCCCATCCCACTGTCCTTTGGAAGAAACTGTGCATAGGGCCTTTTAGCAGAGCTCTGGTTGGGCTTTATCGTCGATCCTGAAAGAAGGTACATAGCAGGGTGCCAGAGGGCTCCTGCAGCTGTGAGCCCTGGGTTCTATCCTCACTTTTCTGGTCGACACCAGAGGGGACAGCTTTTCAGGAGTTGATATTTTCTTTTTCATGATCCTAGTATGATGAATCTGTCTATTCCCTTTCTTCCCAGAAATGGAAATAGCAAACAATGGTGGTTTCAACCACAGAGAAGCATCTTTGTTCCTAAAGTGGACTCTCCTTACCCCTAAGCTCTCCCCATCTTTGGTCCATTTCTCTCTTCTGCATTTGTATTCACGCAACTGTACCCCCCAGGCATAAGTCTCTAGTGCTTGGCAGTGACGGAGAAAGCTGTACTAGCATGTCTCAGGATCACTGGATCCATGTAGAGATGAATGGTTGGACACAAAGGAAACAGCCAGGGGGAAGCAGAGAGGTACATGGAGAAATGAAGGACACAAGGACAGACATAGTGTAAGGGCTGCAGTGTGGTCACCTGGCAGCTCTGTGCAGGTCAGCTGAGCAGTGAGGGCCCAGGCTGTTGACCTCACCCACCTGGGGGAATGGAGAGAGAGCTCAGCTCTAACTGACTGTGAGCCTAAAAGCTTCTGCTATAAAAAGAGAGAGAGAGAAAGAGAAAAAAAAAAAAAACCCTCACAAAATGCATTGTTTTGGTTCAAAGGTGCTGGGTCCATGGAGAAAAACATTTCACAAAAATTCGTTGGTGTTTTTGTTTTCCACCTTTTCCCATGAATAAATATTATCCATTAAAAGCCTTGAAAAAGGTGCTTAAATACACAGTGTTATATTTTCTTCCTGTTTTGCATGTGACGACTTGGCCTCTGTGCTGCTCTTGGTCTTGTGTTTTCCTCACTGGGGTCTCCAGAAACAATTATTTGGTTTGAAGCCCCCTCTCCAGCCCTGTCCTGGCAGGCAGCCCACACCCCCTACCCACCCTCCCTCCCTTCTATCTGGCCCCAGTGAGAAGCAGTGTCACAGGGCAGTGTCCACGCCAGCAGCGGGAGCCTCAGACGCCCCTTGAGGCCTCTTTTCCCTTCCAGGCACAAGTCTCAGTGCTAGGGGTGCCTCTGCCAGGCAGAAATTGTGGGGAAAGGGGAAGGAGTGGTCCCATAAAGTGGCCACCCACCAACATGCCAGCCCCCTTTCACTCCCCACTACCCCCCGGCCCTCTGTCCAGTGGTTTTACAAGGCAGAGACCTTGACAACATTGCTGGCTATGGAAGGAATGTTCGTGTTGGGGCCTGGGCTGGCAGGGGCTGGGCGACTTTCCCCCTCTGGGGTTAGTGCTGGGGGTGTGGGAATGCTGATGATAGCTGTGGTGATCTGGGATGTTTTGCAGTTTGGTCTCAGTCCGTCGTCTGCTTTCAAATTAAGGCTGGAGCGACTGGGATAGAAAAGAATGAACTGATGATTGTTTCTGCTTGAGAGCAAAGCAAAGCTTCCTCAACTGCCTGCATTTCTTGCTCATAGGAAGTAGGACATTTTGGTGGCCCACTCTCTTTTCCTTTGGTAATTAGCTTCCAATAGTCTAAGTATTATTCCTAAATTACTAACAAGTACAAAGTCAATTTAGATTGGGCTTTGGAATTCAGAGTATACCCTCTGCCCCTTCTCCACAGTGGTTGTTTACCTATTATTTGTGAAATCTGACATTTGTTTTCCCTAAATTCTCTGCAACTCATGCAGAAGTAGTAGAAAGAGGCTTAAATATAAGCAGAAAGTAGAGGAAAAGTCAGTCTGTGATTCAAAATCAGCTTGGGATAATTTATGCATAACATGATTGTGAAAATTATTTCCTTAAGAAAACGGTCAATTCTTTGCACTGAGGTGGGTTAATTTTGGATTATTTTGAGGTTATTTTTCCTCTAATACCTAACCCCACTTTTGGCCTAAAACTGCTATACCATCCTCCAACAGCTTGTGAAGGGCTTTGGGTTAACTTCACAGGATGAGAAGGAAGGTGGGGGAGGCAGGTGGAGGGGACTCATGCATTAGATAAGGAGGAGGGTGACTAGAAGATCCTAAGGTTCTCCTAGTGCTGGCTGGGATTGTTTAATTCTGTGAACAGAATGACTCAAGCCTTTAGGGGTGACAGAATGGAGCCCACGCACCTGGTAGTGAGGGAGGGCTGCTCACTGCCCTGGATGTGGATCGTGCTGAGCTCTTGCATGCTGCGCAGGCGAGTGGCTGGCAGGTTAGAATTGGGCAGGTGTGTGGTCTTCTTACTGCGACGGGAGCAGCAGGTGGTAGTGAGGCTCGGGTGGCTGGACAGTGAGGGACTTCGTGTGGATGGGTAGTTCTGCATTGAGCTCTCCATGCAGTTCTGCTCAAACATCTGTTCATCAATAAACTCATGGTTCTGTGGGAGGCAGAAGGAGAAGAAATAGGAAAAGGAGGGAGAGAGGAGGGGCATAAGCCCATATTTTGTATTCTGCCTGTCCTGGAAGGGCCTTGAAGGGAGGTCTACCAGCTGCCTGGGTCACAGAAAAGCATTTGGGAGGAGACATCAAAGGTGGAAAGGAAGAATCATATTGGCAGCCCTGGCCATCAGGTTGAAGGGTAGAGACCACAGTTATTAAGTCATGATGTGATCTATACCCTACCTGCAGCTTTGAGTTGAAGGGACATAGAGGACATGGAAGGATTCAGTGGCATCATTGAAGTGGAGGCAAAGACTTTTCGTTGTAGGCTTCATCCGAGATCTGCCATGGGCGGCAGATAAGGAGTCCCTGAGGATGAGTGTGCTAGGTTGTCTTTTCTGGATCATATGAACCCTAAGGGTGTGACATAAGCTTTTAAAGGTGCTGGATCATTCACAGAATTGAGGGAGCACTGTGCTTGGAGGCAAATGGGGTCATACTATGAGAGCTATGATTTCTTTTTATTATTGTTTTATCTTTTCACCTGATTATGGGATATGGATCTTAAATGTACCTGAGGCACAAGATTCCCTAGGTCAAGTGTGAGCATGGGAAGGGTATATTAAGAGTCTGTGGACTACAGGGGATGGGAATAGCATGTGGCTAAACTCAGGATAACTGAAAAACGGCTGTCTGCTCAAGGTTGCTGAAAACAATGGCATTAATGGTCTGGCCAAGGCTGCCGGAGTGAGGAGAAAGTCTGAGGACAAGTAACAAGAGCCCAGAGTTCAGCCCTGATAGCCACTACCAGGAGTGCTCAGGGAGATGAGGAGGTGGCACACACAAATGTGCACATTGGTGCTCACAGGAAACTGCTGTTGGTGCCATGTTCCACCGCCCCCTCCACCCCCTTGGAGAGGTCAAAGGAGGGAACTAGATAAGCAATTGGGTAGTTCAGCATAGAAAACTGGAAGCCTGAACTCTACTGGGTGTAACAGAAGGGATAGGATAAGCCCCAGAAGAATCAGCAGCACATGCAGAGAGCCAGACCAAGGAAAAAGAGGAGAATCCACACAGAAGAATAAGAGAGAAAAACATCAATTGAATTTTTAAAAAGTTATACCTTGATGGTGGAGGTTCGTACAGATAACAGGGGATCATCCACAAGATAGGACAACCCCTACAGGACAACATGCCAACAGAAGATAAAAACACCATTGATTGTACATTCCAGCATTCCCAAGCCAGTTTTGACATTCAATTTCAATCCTAGCATTCCACACTTTGAGTTAAACATTCCATCCCTTCGTCCCAGCATTCTGCCTCCCTTGTCCAAACATCTCCCCCCCTTTGATTATAGGACCCTTCTCTAATCCAACATTCACTCCTCCCATTCCAATAGTTGTCCTCATCCACCCCAACATTCCACCCCTTGTATCCAACATTCTTCCCCTAAAATCCAGCATTCCAGAGCTTTCACCCCAATATCCTACCCCCACAATCCAACATTCTTTCCCTCAAACTCAGCATTCCACCCCCTGCAATGCCAGCATTCCACCCCTCAATTCCCCAACCCCATTTATTCAATGTCAACATTCCAACCCTTTAAACACAAATATTTTCACCCATGTGCTTTCAGTGAACACATTCCACCCAGCACATGCAACTTAGAAAGGGCAGTTGGGTCTGGGCTTATCCCTTTGGCAAATTCAGTATCCTTGAGAAAAATGCTAGATATGTATATACAGTTCTTAATGATAAATCCCAGAAAACAGGGTTTGCAGAGCATCTTTCCATTTTGGAAGTCCTCAGTGGGTTCAACTGCTATCCATAGTATTCACATTTAGCTCAGATGAAGAGTCATCTAGCATCTATTTCCCCGACATCTGGGAGACTAGGATATGGAATAGTCAGAATTAGTTTAGAATTAGAAAGTTCCTTCCTTAAAGTGCTGAGCCCTTATTATAGGCTTTTGGAGAGGGAGCTTCTAGAAAGGACAGGGATGTTTCACTTTGGTTTACCCACCCCGACTTCTCCCTTCTTACTGTTCCTGGCACTTTTTGCCAAGGATCCAGCATTGGCCCTACTGCCCTTCCTCTCAGGCTGTTAGTGAGGCACAAGCACCATTCACATTCCAGCTGTGGCTCCCTAAACCATGACTCTGCAACAACCAAGCTTCAAAATCTGGGCCCCCTAAGAACTGCAGGGTGATGGAGAGGGATGGGACTGGTGAATCCCAAGAGAAACATGTACACTGCTCCCTTTATTCGCTGTCTTCTGTTCCAAGGGGAATGTAAGGTGCAGAGGGACCCACAGATTAGATTCACCTAGTCCATGGGTAGGAAAGAAATCAACATTCTTCTCTACTTTCCTGTGGAAATACAGCCTGGGCTTTGAAGGGCGATGCCTATCAGAACTAACAAGTAGACAGGCAGTGCCCTTGAGCTGCAGTAATCAAACAGGCTGCAGGGACTGGTGTGAGTGTATGAGAAAGTTGGTGGGAATGGCCTCATCTGGCTGCTGCAGGACAGAGCAGGTTTCTAGCCTGGTGATCTCACCCCACTCTTGAGGGTCTTACACCTGGGGTGGCCAGACCTCATCATTCTCTTTTGGATCTGAAGGGGATACCCAAGGGTGGGGATGTGAGTAGAGCCTTAGGAGGAGGTCAGAAGTCAGGGATGACAGAGGAGGTGGTAACAGGTGGGGACTCACAGTGGTCTTTTCCAGGCAGTGGAGCAAGTGGTGGTGCTGGCTCTCAATAAGTGAGGTGGTCTTGCCCATCTGCTCCTCTTCTGGGGTGCCCTAGTGAAAAGGAAGAATGACCAACAATGAAGCTGGTGGCTCCTCCTTTCTCCAGCCTCTTCATTTTTCCACAGAAGACAGAAAGGCACCAGAAAAGTCTGGATGAGCCAAACTTTAGGATCAGCACTGAACATGCTCCTCTTAAGCAGGCCCTTGTTTATAGCTGGTTTAGCAGTGGTGGTGATAATCCCATGGGAGAGGTGTCTACGTGGGGAAAGTTTGGAAACATGTCCTCCTCAGGTTTCAAACTTGGGTTTGGGGACAGAGTGCTAGTGTCCTTGGAAAGAGAAAACACGCCCTTCTTCCCTTTCATGTCCCCAGCCAATGCCTCAAAGATACCTACCGTTAGCTCCAGTGCTTCATTGAGGAGCCCGTTTCGCTTGCTGTGCAGGTAGGCATTGGAGCTTCCTGTTTTAGCCACACGGATCCTGGCAAGGCGGGCCTTCTGTGATGGGCAGAGATGATTAAAGAGTGAGGGAGACCAAGATACACAGAGTCAACAAGGCTGGCAAAGTGGGCGCCCCAGCCCCAGTGGTGTTTGATGAAGGGGAGGGAGCTGCTGCCTCCCTGCCTCCTGCATTTCTGCTTAAGGATCTGAGATGGTGTGTCAACTTTTTGCACCTTCTCATAGACGGAATCCAAGGAGTTTCTGTGCACGTCCTCAGCCTGTGTGTATCTGGCAGGAGAAATATCACTTACTCCAATCAATTTTCCTTCCAAAGGTTTCATGACTTTTACTCAGTATTGCACAATGCCATGTGCTGTTCCATTGAGTATGTATTATCTCTGAACTAGATTACAAGGTCTTTGAAGGAAAGGTGATGGCTGTCTTGATTTTTACCTAGGATCCAGTGTAATTCCCTTCATACAGTAGGTTCCCAAATACTGGTTAATCATGAGAAAATCAAGGATTGGCTATGTACCACTCAATACTTCTTAATTTTCTCTGCTATTTGTCTCTTAACACTTATTACTAAGATAGTATACATTTTATGCATTTATATTGCTACAGTGTTTCTCCCTGTTAGAATGTAAGTTCCTTGAGGGCAGGAGTTTTTGCTTGTTTATTGGTATATCCCCAGTGCTTAGTAAACAGATCTTCAATATTTTTAAAAACATTAAATGTATTTACATATCTGTCTTTGGGAGTGGTTCATGTGTGGATGTGTTCATGCATAGATGTCTACAATGCTGTGCATGTTGTGGGAATGAATACAGGCTACAGAACAGGTGATCTGGTATGTGGGTGAGTGGGCTTCTGAGAGGGTGGAACATGTTTCCATATGCCAGTCTGGCTTTAAGCAGTACAATTGAAACTCTCCCCAGCTCCAACCCAGGAAGCCTTTGGCAGAGAAAGTCCCATGTAGGAGGGTTGCGTTGTGTCTCAAGGGCTGAAAGCTCACCTCTCTTGCTTGCAGAAGAAATGGGAGAGGCTGGATACACTGCCCATGCTGGCTCCTCTTCTTCCTAATAACCCTAATCAATGTCCCATGACTATGGCACAGCCAAAGACAGGGCTAAAAGGAAGGAGTTTGGGACTAGGTAGAGGGGTCCCTGCTGGTTTGAAAAATGTGCCTCAAAGTTTAGGCCCTGTAGATCTACACTAAGCTCCAGTATTGCTACAGGAAGCAGAAGAGACCACAAGGACCACAGACCCATTCTAGAGTGGAAGAGATCTTCTCCCTAGCTCTGAGCAAGTCTGTAGGTAACTTCAACCTGGACTTTGAGCATTAGAGTCTTTGAGAAATTATGGCAATTTCCATTTCTTGTCACTCTCTCAAGTATATCTCCCAAGTGCCCTGGTGGGCTGGGCTATCTGCTAGAAGGAAACCATGGACTCGGGTTCAGGTTGTCAACAGAAACCCAAAGGACTTTCTGTGTCCTGTTTCCTAGGAAGTCCCCCATTGAGGGCCTCTCTCCTTGTGGGGTCAGTTCAGCTCCCTTTTCTGACTTCTGCTTGTGAGGAAGAGGCCAGGACTTGAGTCTGAAAGATTCTAGTGAATCTGGGAATGGCTGCTCTTCTAGAAGAGGGAATAAAAAGGGAATCTGGGAGAGAAAGGCTGGCATGCCAACTGTATCATTCCTCTTCCCTCTGAGCAAAGAATATTTACTCAAGGTCTAGACAGTTCTCCTACCCAGAAATCCTGTTACAGCCCTTCCCATTGGCTAATTGTTTATATTCTAACAAGTTCTTCATTGTTTTCACATGTAGCTGTTATTACTCTGGGTGAACTAGGTGTTGAGAGCTGCATATGGAAATCCAATTGTGTCAAGCTCATTATAGCCTTATATAATCTGATTGCACCACTTAAAGCCAGACCTTTCTCATATCTAGGGTCTGTCTTCATTACTTTCTAGAGATGAAAGATTCTCCCATTCTCCTTTGTGGCACTTCTTTTAATCTTATCTTACCCTGAGCTCTATTAAAGCAACAGATTGTCATATCAAATGCAGTATATCATTTAATCATTTCCTACACAGGATAAAGAGGTTTGTGATGTATTTACCGAGCTATACCTAGCATATGAAGTTTCATAGGGGCTCTTTTCCTTAGCTTTGAGCTCCTTAGGGCTAGGGCCTTTGTTTGATTCATAATTCTATCTCTAGCACCCATACAGTGCTCTTTACTAGGCAAATACTCAAGCAAGGTTTATGATGGCCAAGAAAGGAAGATGATTATGCATAGTTGGTTGGAAGTCTATGTTTATAAGGCCATTGTTACGGGCACAATCCTTGTGTAGACTTGTCAGCTTCACTCTCTTCCCTGGTCATAAGAACAACAAAGTGGTCTAAGCCACTTCAAAAACACATATGCACACACAAAATGTGTGAGAGGAAGTGACTTATGTAGGGCAGGGCATGGACTAGCAAGACTTCAGCAAAAGTCTTCCAACTTTCAAGCCAAACGCTGCTTCTTTTGTATCTTCCTTCTCTTCTTGAATTTTAACTCCTATCTTGCCAGTTTCTAAACTTGAAAAGCAAAGTCCAGGAGGTTGCATTTTCAACAGGTGTGGAGATTCCAGGGTTGAGGAGAGATCTAGAAGGAGACTACTGCCACCTGGTACTGTTCCAGGCACTGTTTATGATCAAGATCATGATCCTGTTAATCTCTGAGAAGCCTTTCACAACTGAACACTTTCTAGCTAGCTAGATGGTTTTCAGGTACCCTTTGGCGATAAATATTTACGTCTCTTACACTGAAAGAGGCAGAAGAAGGAGAGAAAAAAAGGAGGAATGGAAAAACTAAAAGAGAACACAGGCAATTACACTTTTAGGCATTTATCCAAGAGAAATTAAAACTTACGTTCACATAAAAACCTGTACACTAATGTTCCTAACAGCTGTATTTGTAAAACTTAAATCTGTAAGCATCCCAGGTGTTCTTCAATAGGTGAACAAAAAACTAGTACATCCACACCATGAAATACTACTTAGCAGTGAAATGGAATGGGTTATTGATACAATTGTTGGATGACTCTCCAACAATTACATAGAATGAAAAAAGCCAATCCCCAAAGGTTACCTATTGTATGAGTCCATTTATATAATATTTTGGAAATAAAAACATAACTAGAGAACAGATACATTGTTGGCAGGGGTCAAGGACAAGGCGGGGAGCGTGGCTGGGGGTGTGGCTCTAAAAGGGCAACCCAGGGATCCTTGTGGAGTTGGAGCTCTTCAGTGCCACATTCATCAAACCAGTGTTCTGCAGGAATCCAATAGGTGATACCATTGTAAAACACACAAGTACAAATAAAAGTGGGGTAATCCCAGTAAGGTTGGTGGATTGTATCAGTATTCATAGCCTGGTCGCGATATTGTACTACACTTCTGTAAAATGTTACCACTGGGCAAAACCTGGCAAACTATACAAAGGAGTTCTTTGTACAGTTTCTTACAACTACATATGAATCTTTACTTACCTCAGTAAAATATTCCATTAAAAACAAATATTATGGTCATACGTGAGGTTCCCTCTTTTTGTGCCCTGTGAACCTCTCGCTTGACTTCTAGTTCTCTTGGCGCAGAAGATGTAGTCTCTGAAGCAAATCAGTCACCATGGATAGAGATGACTATGTAAACTTCTTTTTGGACCTCTACACCCAAGTGGGCTGGACTGTAGCCCCTAGGGGTGCGGGCTGGGCTGAGGACTATCACTAGCTCCACTGGCCCTCTCCCCACTCCCTTGAAGGCACCTAGGCCTGTGTGCCTTGGCTCACCATGACAGATTCAGTGCTGGAAGCACGCAGTATTGTTTTTTTCTCTCACAGGAGGCCCAAGGTGAAAGAGACAGAGCTGAGCAACCTTGAAGAGAAACAGTGTCCAGGCTAGGTGAAAACACTGTAAATATTTACTCTGATTTCAAAGGAAGAGAGAAGAGGATGAGGGGCAGGAGGGAGATTCGTCTTGAGCAGCTAGAGAGAGGAAGCCAGAATTATGTCTGGATTTTAATCACAAGGAGCTTTATACAGCCCCAGGGGGGAAATGTCCATTGCTGTGTTCTTTGCAGACAAGACACAGTAAGAAGTAGGTAGGGATGTGGGCAGGGAGGGTCCGGTGGTTGCAGGAGCTACCTGGAGCATAGCTGAGGGGAGTGGCTTCTTGTGAAGCCCACTTGCTCTGCCAAAAACCTGTTCTAGGACTAGCTCTGGTCTGGGGTCAGGAGGTAATATGTGTACTATAGGAATCCTCATCCTTCAGGGCCTCAGGCTCCTAGATTTGAATGAGTTTCTCCTTGTCCCTTTATTTCGAACTGCATAACGAATTTAGACTATTGTCCAAAATTGTCAGCAGACTTAGGGAACAAGATAAGACTTCCATTTCTGGGGTGGTTGCCAGCGGATATGGGGGAAGAACTCTGATGTTGGGTGGAGAGATAGGAGACATGGGCTGGTGGGATGGAGAAGACACCAGAATAGAAATCTTAAGGCTAGCAACATTATAGACCAGGTCAAGATAGGTAAAAATACAGTTTAGACAGAGAAAGGCAGGAGACCAAGAAGGAGGTGACCATTAGGACACACAACTGGTGATGTGCTGGAGGTTGGAACCAATCAGGTTTACTACATAATTATATGTGTATATTTATATATGTATATATTTATATGTGAGTAATTATATTGTGCATATTTATACATTATATATTCTCTAGATTGTGCAGTAATTGTTAAACACTTTGGAGCTAGCTTTCACAAACTTGTGGCTTTGTTATAGTCTGCATACACAGATCTATTCTGAAATTCTAGATTCTTTTGATCTAACCGAGGGGTTATTCCTGCAAGTAAGAGTAAATAATCCAGCTTCAGGACTTGCTAGATAGTAGGTACTTAGTATGTTTGTAGAATAAATGAATGAGAGAAAAATAAATAAGGAGAAAAAAAATCCTAGGCCTCTATTAAGCTTTCAACTGGGTCCTCTTTTGTCCTTTGTATCCAGAGGCTCTAAGCACACTCCCTGGAGGTCAAGATGCTGCTGATGGAGCACCAATTATCAGCCAGGTCAAGTCCCCCATAACACCCTTTCCTAATAGAAGCCATGGTAAAAGTCACTGCTGGGGACCTCCTTTAGCCAAATGCCTTAGAAATGCTAGTTTGTGAGAGGTGGCTACGTAGAGGAGTTGTTCTAGAGAGAAGGGTGAAGGGTAGTCATAGAAGGAGCAAGCTTCCAGATGTTCCCTTTCAAGCTCCCAAGCTCTAAGTCTTTGGACATTCCCCTCTTTCTGGGGTAGGTGACTTAAAGTCCTTGCTGACTTAAAGAGTATATCCTGAGAATAAAGTGGTAAGAATAAAGCGAGTGAGAATAAAGTTTATCCTGAGAATAAAGTGGAATTTTTCTCAGCACTGACAAATTCTCCTGGCCAACAGTTGAGTTTTGTGCCTTTACCTATGATACTGTGAAGATTACTAAAGCTTGATGTGCAGTTTGTCCCTGAACTCAATGGCCTCAGAATGTTCTCTCATTTTTCTTCTTGGCACACTTATTTTTGTCACTAGGTTTTTATAGGCTATTGCAGGATATTAAGACAAAACTATGTTTCCCAGTAAATTCTTGGCTGGATGGAGGAGGAGCCACAGGACAGCTCAATAGCCTTGGCTGGGCATTGGAGGTGGAACCAGGTCTAAGAAGTCGCCAAGGAATAACCACAAGGGGGAATAATCAGCTTATGGATAATGGGGGGCTTGTTGGGTTTTGCAGCTGAGGGGGGTTGGAGTTCAGGACACTGATGGGTAGGAAGGGATGTAAAGCACTTTACCTTCCCAAGTCAGAGGCCTCTTGTGCAGGGATCCTCTAAGAGACTCCAGGCCTGGCAACCTACCTGTACCCTGTGACCCTTCCACATCCTCCCTGCCTATCCTTGTGTTTGTAGCTTACCTTTTGTGCTCTGCGTTTATCAGCTCTCTGATTTTGGTGGTAAATCCTGCTAAAGTTGGAAACAATCACAGGGACTGGCAGGGCAATGACCAGGACACCACTCAGGGAGCAGATGGAGCCAAAGATCTTTCCTGCAATTGTTTTAGGCACCATGTCTCCATATCTGAGAGAGAGAAAGAGAAAGAGAGAGAGAGTAGCAGGATATAGAGAAGAAATAGAGACCATCCATCCATCCATCCATCCATCCATCCAACAATTGTTTAATATGCCTACTATGCACCAGGTCCAGTGACATAACCCAGGAGTGAATGAAACAGACAAGATCCTTGTGATCAGGAGCCAACCTCCTTCAAGGGGAAGACCATATACAAGAAAGGGAATGCATTCCAAACCTGTGGCTTGTGGTCATTCCTGTGAGGACAGAGGTAGATGCTATGTCAGATGGTGGGAGTGTGGTTGGGAAAGCCCTCTCCAAGGCTCTAGCATTTAAGTTGAGATCTGAAGGCAAAGTGTCTAGCTGCATAAAGCCCCTGGCATGAGTGTGCCAGGGAGAAGGAGCAGGAAGTATAGAGGCCCTGAGGTGGTATGAAGGAGACTGGCTTGTTCTAGCAATTGTGGAGGTGCCAGCGGGATGGGACACAGCAATGGAGGGGAGAGATGTATCAAAGGAGGTGGAGGAGGCAGGCAAGGGCTAAAGCACACAGTGCCTAGTGGGTCAGGGTGGGGAGCACAGATTATCCAGGTACAGTGAGGAGCCGTGGTAGAATTTTAAGCAAAAGAGCAATAGGATCTCACTTATGGTCATTCAAATAATGATAAACTTACTTTCTTCTCATGTGGAGATTTACAACTTACAAAGCATTTTTACATATTTGCCTCACTCAAACCCCATGAGCCCTGTGACCTTTGTATTCTTAGCCCCTTTGTACAGATGCAGGAAGTGAAGCTCAGAGAGCACATGCATTTCCCTTCTTTGCTCAGCTGGGATCAAAATCCACTCCTCTTTCTCTGTTTTCCATTAACCACACTGTCTCAGAGGGAGCCTGCGAGTTCTGAAACAGATCCTTAAGCCACGAAGCCATGCTGGGGTTGTGCCTGCTCCTCTCAGAGCTCAGAGAAACTCTCTTAAGTACTTTACCCCGGCAGCTGCCCCCAGGGACCAACCAGCATGGCCTGGCTCCCACTCAGCCCTGGGCAGCCCAGCCAGAGCCTTTCCTCCAATCAATAAGATGCTCTCCACAGTAGTTAAGTGTTTAGCTTCCTCTTTACTGAGATAATTTAAAGACCTTATTAAGCAAAGAGCTGTGATAACTACTCTGACCAAAGCCAGAAATATCATCTCCTCTGCCTCTTTGTCCTCTGCATGTCTGGAGCATAAACAGGCTTAGCATGACCAGGAATGATAGTGGCTAAAATGTGAGGCTCAAAGTCATTTTTCCTGTGTCCTTCTCTATAAAAGGAAGATCACTTACATCATTATCCTATTGTGACATATGCAGCTCATAAGCAATAAACATTATTGCTTTTATCTAGGCATTCTGGTACCCATAGTCTTCATTGGTGGAAAACTCTAAAAGCACAGTTAATTTTCCCAAATTCAAATAATCCCAGTCATGGAGAAAAGTGGGCTGCTCTGGAGATATATCACGTTAGCTGGGATTTTCAGATGGCACGACAGAAAGGCAGCCAATGAGCACATGCCCACTGATGAAAATGAAGCATGGCAGAAAGGCTATGTTTCAGAGATTGAGGCTAGTGAAGGTGCTAAGGACAGCAACAAGGTGGTTTTATCTATCTGAAGGCAAAATGAGGAGGGGAGTTATGCCTACTGCTGGGGCAGTTGGTCTGCTGTTATCCTATGACAGAACAAAAGCAGAACAACTCCACTTCCAGGCACTTCTGCCTTCTCCACCTAGAAGAATACATATCATCTTGGAAAGGCTGGGACAAATGCCAATGAGGATGGGGAGCTTAAAGTTGGAGATTTAGAGTGGATAAGTGCCCAGCTGGATTCAGTGAACTTCCATCACAGATCCATGTGGACCCGAGCTCTGGAGATAGGACAGATGTGCAGATGGGCTTGCAGAACCAGTGCCCATTGTCTCTGAGAAATCACAGAACAGTGCAGAAATACCAAGAGACTAGAGATGGAAAACTGGTGCATTGATATTTCAAAGAAGGCAAAAGGAGGTCTGAGAAATTACAGACCAACAGCTTGGCATCTCTCAATTCTTCCATGAGATTGCTGGCAGAATTTGAGAGCAAAGTATTAAGTGGACAGCTTGTGAACACTTGGAAAATAAGCTGTATTGGTTTGCTATGCTCCCATCTTGCCAAATAAACCTTATTTCTTGTTTTGAGAGTGAGATTAATTGGCTGGTAGATCTGAGGACTCTTACAGACCTATTGCATCATAATTTTACCAAGATGTGTTCTTGTCCCAGATCTTTACACCCCTGACAAGCAGGAGGAATGTGGCATGGAGAGTGTTATGATCAGCAGAAACAGTCACTATTTTTACTGTTCTGGAACTTCTTCAATAGTAGCCCTATGCCAGCATAGTGAAGTTCACAATTTTCAGGTTAGAAGGGTCTCAACGAGTGAAAGAGTAAATATGTAAATAAAATAAAGAATGGGTCTAAAGTTAGGTCGCCACTGGTATGTTCTAGATTTTTTTTAACACCTTGTGTAATGGGAGAGGGAGGCAGCACGGCCTAATATTCAGAGAAGAGACTGGAGTCAGACCTGGGCTTGAACCCTAGCCCTTATCATTTACTAGTTAATGACCATGGGTAATTTGTTTAATCTGAGCCTCTACTACCTATAAGGTGGGTTTTAAATCTCTAGAATTGTTGTGATAATAATTCGAAGAAACATTTAATTCAGTGTTTATGTAACTGTAAATTCTCTACAAACAGTCAGTGTGGTGGACAGGTATCGTTTTGTCTGCAAATGGTCTAATCCCATCCAGGAGCTGTGTTCCTCCCCTGCCAGGAGGACGTAAACTCTGTCCACAGGAGCTGCCATAGTCTTACAGATCTTTCCTTAAGTCTCAATTCCCACTGTCACAGTAAATTTACTATAGGGCATCTTACCCAAGCAGCAGGGTCATTGAGTTCTTTTCCTGGACTTATTTAACAGCTTTACTGAGATACAACTTATATACCACAAAGTTCAACCATTTAAATAATGTGTTTCTTTTCTTTCAGATTTAGTTATTCATTTTTAAGTCTCTATCAACTTAATTATCATAAGCACAGATTAACAGCCAGATTCTCAGACCAAAAACCAGGTAAAACACATACAACAATTATAGTATAGTAAATCAAGGTACACTTTTACATACATTGGCCATGCTGAATTACAGTAATTTATCTCTCTTTTTTCTATTGTCTTTTACTTTTTACTTTATTTATCATATAAGATTTATCATATAAATTGGATTTATCATATAAGAGAAACCATGTGATATTTAAGCTTGCGTGTCTGATTTACTTCACTTAACATTATGTTCTCAAGGTGCACCCATTTTCCTAAAAATGATTCAAGTTTATCCTTCTTTACAGCAGAGTAGTACTCTATTGTGTATAAATACCACATTTTCCTTATCTATTCATCGGTTGAAGGCCATCTAGGCTGCTTTCAAGATTTAGCTATTATGAATTGTGCTGCTACAAACATGGGTGTGCATGTATCACTGTAGTATGTCTTTTAACTCTTTTGGGAAGATACCTAGAAAGGGAATAGCTGGATCAAAGGGAATTTTTATTTTTAGTTTTTGAGGAATCTCCATATTGATTTCCATAGTGGTTGCACCAGTTTACATTCCCACTACTAATAACGAAAGGTTACTTGTCCCTGCAGGCTTTCCAGCATTTGTTATTATTTGAATTCTTGAAATTAGCTATTCTTTCTAGAGTGAGATGGAATCTCTGTGTTGTTTTAAGTAAATTGTACATTTCAACAATTTTTAGTGCATTGACACAGTTGAGCTTTACCTTCAGCACAGTCATGACAGGTTTAACATTTTTATAACCTCCACAGAAAGTATTACATTCATTAGCAGCCAATGACCACGCACCTCATCCTTCAGTTCCTGACAATCATTAGCTCTGTCTCTATAGATTTCTCTCTTTTGGACATTTCAGATAAAGAGGCTTATATAATATGTGGGCTCCTGTCTCTGACTTCTTTCACTCAGCATAATGTTTTCAACATTCATCCATGCAGCATGTATCAGTACTTCCTTCTTCTACCTCAATAGTATTCAATTGTAAGGATATGCCACACTTTGATAATTCATTGATAAGCTAAGACATTTGGGTTATTTTCACTTTTTACCTATTATGAATAATGTTGCTATGAATATTTGTGTACAAGTTCTTGTGTGGACATATGTTTTCATTTCCCCAAGAGTCATAGGGTAACTATGTTTAACAGTTTGAGGCCCTGACAAACTGTTTTCTTTCCAAAGTGTACCACCGCTAGCAGTGAATGAATGAGGGGTCCAACTGCTTCTTATAGAAGACAATACTTGCTACTATCTGCCTTTTTTATTATAGCTGTCATGGTAGGGATGAAGTGATACTGGATTGTGGTCCTGATCTGCATTTTCCTAATGACGAATGATGCTGGGCATTTTTTCCCCTTCCTGGAATTGGACTTTTGGGAGCAGATCAATCTCTTTTGAAGAAGTTAAAGCTATAACAAGTAAAGCTCTGGAACTGTTGACAGCTATACTTTCTGCCATGAGAAAAAACCCAGATTATAGTTGAGAGGAAGAAGGCTGACAGATACCAAAAAGTGAGAGATGGGAAGAGATGGTCTTGCCGGGGCCCTGCTTCATCCTTGACTGTCCTATGGGTCAGCTGTTCAGTCCTTCCTTTGACTCTGCTTAATAACAAAGTACTTTTGCTTAACTTTGTTTTTGTTTTAGATCCTATAATGATGACGATGGGGAGACTGTTATTGACGATTGTTTAAAGCAATATTTTTTCAAATTTCTAAATGTCAGGGCTATTATGAATTGGAGTCCTAAGAAGTCAAAAGGATTTTAACAGGTTGTAATCATGGGTGAAGCCAGGCAAATTAATTTTAACACAGATAAATGACATCACAAGCATTTTGATTCAAATAATCATTGACTTGTATAGCTGATGGGAG